GGCCTATTAGCCTCACCAGCCTACGATGCAAGGTAATGGAACGCATTCTGGAACGGGCCATCCTAGATAACTTTACTAATGACGACATCATATCTTTAGTTCAACTGAAATTCCACTCAAACCGTTCTTGGGTAACCAACGCAGCTTAACCCAAGCTAAGGGCGAGGGACTCAAATATAACGCCATACTTTTCAATTTCTTAGAAGCATTCGATTGGGTCCCACGCTTCCTGCTGCTCTACAAGCTTACATCTTACGGGAGTCAAGGAGAAATTCTACGCTGGATTGAGGAGTTCCTATCAGACAATCCACTCTTCTCCGGCGCCGGTCTCCATTGGAATTCCCCGAGGCTTTGATTTGGGACCGCTGTTGATTTTGATATTTGTCAGTGACCTTTCAGACGCTCTTTGAAGCCCATGTCCACTTACCGCAGACGAATCGGAGTCCTGGAGTTCAAATGTCAGTGCCATTCAAATCGATGTAGCCACTGCGAAGCAGTGGTCGTCGGACTTGCACCCTCTGAATGATGAAAAGTGCGTCCATTTGTCATTCAGCGAACGCGTTTGTCGTGGATGATTATAATGGGCCAGAGGGAATTACAAGGATAGATGTCGAAAAGGATTTAAGTATCTGGCTCTCTTCAAACATATACCCCACTTCACCTTGAGAAATCGGCTCAAGATGCATCCGCCGTTCTACGGATGATTCGGTGCACTTTCTCCCGTGTTACCTGCATGGACTTCCAAATTGTCTATGGGGCCTTCATCGGACCGCCTCTTGAATATGCCAGTCAAGTTATCTAATAAGGACGCAAGGAGGACGTAACTCTAATTGAGCTTGTCCAAGGATCTGCTACGAAAATGGTTGCCGGTTTGAAATCCGCGGACCATGCGTCGCGTCTCGCGGCACTTGATCTCTTTCTTGTGCATTATGGTTGCCTCCGAGGAGACCTAATACTTATGCCCTGTTTGAAGAAGGTTTGACCAACAGGTGTTTCGTCGTTGACCAAGCAAACAATTGGCGGGGACATGGTGGGTAGTGTTTGAAGTGTGTTTCGTCGTTGTCCAAGCAAACAAATGGCGGGGACATGGTGGGTAGTGTTTGAAGCTCGGATCGCAAACTTTATTAGGCAACAGTTTTTCTCATTTTTGTAGTTGGTGTGTGGAATGGTCCTCCGACGGCTGTTCACATAGCATCTAGTACCCAGTTCAAATCATTCACACCGGCAAGCACATTACACCGCGTTGAGAACTTACAAAGCAGTGCCTCACCCTTTTTTCGTTTGTGCCTTTCAGGCGAAAGCCTCGATCCTCTGTATCAAACCGAATCCGTGAAGTATGGTGGGCTACTCGCAGAAGACGGAAGGGTTGCGGCATTCGTGATACCGCCACTGCAACATCGTAATTTGGTTCATTGATAGTCCCGAACGTCGGTGCATTGGGTGAAGGGGTTGGGTTAGAGAGGAATTTTGGGTTGTTAGGTTTGGCGAACCAATTAAGGAGCAACGGTTGTTCGTCACAACGGTCTTGGTGGTGCATTTAGCCACCAGTAAGTCTAGGTTTTCTCAACTGATAGTGGAGACAAGCGTGGGAAGAGGATGTCCCTACGTCCATTGGGGGCGCAGCATGTGTGGCGAGCAGTGTTGCTTCCATATGGAAGAGGCAATGAAGCCGCCTGAGTTGTGTTGGGAGCTCAAAAATATACTAGACTGTTTTCTATAGAGGAGAATGTCGGTAGCTCAGGTAACGTAGATGGTCGTTGGCTTATTCGCTGTGCGTGTGCACAACCACTAACCCACCGCTACGCACAACTACGTACTGATTACGTCAACTCGATTGGTGATGAAACGTTTGCAACCAAATTGCCCAGCTCAGCGAACAAGCCAACGACCATATACTAGACGTGCTAGTGACGACGAGTTTGCAGCGGCCCAGAAATGCAGGCCATTGGGAATGATAACAATTAACTACCATAACAACGCGATGGCACCAGGTCTTAAAAAATGATACCTGGGTTGTCGCTGTGAAAATACCTTAGTGGGGTGTGGGTAGTGAGGAAGGGCGATATACGAGCAGAATGAATGGCTGTCATACACGAGTATTGGGAACTTGCTCGAGGAAAATTTTGCACCGCTTTGGTTAGTTGAATGGTACTCTATAGGGCCAGTCAGGGAAAGACTGAGATGTGGGAAGCGGATACCCAGAGACGTGGGTCGAACAACCTATTCACCATAACCGGCGATGAAGTAGACAGGCACGCCACAAACGATTCAGTCGCGCTTGTTCAGAAATTGGACTCGCTAGTTGTAGAAAACAAACTTCCATTCGGGGGCCACGGCGAACTACAGAATATTGAGTGGAAAGGTGGCTAAATATCTGACAGTACGTGATGCGCAGAAAGAGGTGTTGGATAGGTGCGGACGAGTCGTTGATTCTGGGTGCACGGGAACAAGAGATTGGAGAAAATATGAAGTTTCTGGTCGTGTTTTGTGTTTGTAAGATAGAATGTCCTCGGTGCAGTGACGTCAGCGCAGGAGAGGGGTATTGGCTGCGTAGAACTAGCTGTGTCCGAAGAGCCGATCCACTTGTCTTCAGTTCTTCCCAGTTGACTTCTGAGGTAGCATTTTCACTTTGTCATGTTGCCGGTGTTTTGGATTCCTAAGAGGATTCATCGAGAAATATGATAGAACCAAGGGGGTCTTACGCCAGCAACACAAGCTTTCGACACCGGCTCTTTGTCTAATTCCCGTATTTAAAGTCAATCTCAGAACCCCAGCACTGTGTGAAGGCATAAGCTGCTGGAGAGGTAATAGGCATGCAAACTCATCTGGCTGTAGCGCATCAGGGCGATGCTCTCTGCCGGACGTGCCCGAGCGATGAGCCTGGAACCTATGACCTCGGGGGTTAATGATTGTATATGTTCTCTCAAGCGCCTTCGGGCTGTTTCTCTGGATAGTCTGCCCACCTGTTTGTTCAAGGATTGCAATTTGTATTAGTTCCGACTACAATGTGATCGATTAAGTCAATGCAAGAGCCTCTAAGGCTCGAGTTGTGTTGCTCAAATCTGTTTTGTCTTGTTGAACGGTGTTGCAACTCTGCATCGGCTCCTTGGCTTCCTCGTCGCTGGACTGGCACCCTCCTCTGAATGATGAAAAGTGCGTCCATGTGGCGTTTGGAGGGGATTCAGCGAATGCCTTTGTTATGCATGGTGAAAAGGG